TCATAACAGTAACAAAATTACAGTGATGAAGTAGCAACGAAAATAATTTTATGGTTGGGGGTCACCACAACATGAGGAACTGTATTAAAGGGCCACGGCATTAGGAAGGTTGAGAACCGCTGGAAGATAACAGGGAGAAAATGAATTTAAATGTTTTAAACATTCCTTCATTTCAAATATCAAAACCCAGGAGGCACACCCATTCTGCGAGGGGGATTTTCCCTACGGGCACGTCTGGCTGCTGTGTAATTGTTAGCAGGTTTTAAAAGAAGGAGAACGTAGACAAACCCCAAGACTTGGCCAGGGAAGGAGACGTGCCCGCCTGCTCCACACTCCACGGACGGGTGGGGAGCGGGAGGGCAGGTGGGAATTGATCCGACTATAAAACATCCTGGGGAAACAAGCCAGGGCTTTCAGGCCACGACTGACTACCCTAACCAGGGTCACGGGTGAGTGACCAAGTCGGGGATTAAAGCGGAGATTTCCTTTCTGTCCGGGGGTTGGGCTGAGTCAGATGGTGTAAGAATCTGGACACCGTGGTGCTGAAAATGTTTCAAGTTTCAATGTAAACACAGGTGCAGTTTGAATGTCATGGAAGTGAGTTTATGCCAACAGCACCACCTACTGGGCACGAGAGGCACTGCCGCCCACTTGATGGGCTGCCAGTATCATTACCACTAGGTATAAGCACAAACTCAAGTGATGGAACGGTTTTTCCCCATTCCCGCCAAATTAACTAGCTAGGGGCGTACGGTTTGGAAGTTCCCCTGACACCTCGGATGGAGAGCATCACTCCCACCCCAACAAGGAGAAAATGCTGTGCATACCACAAAGGCGCTTTCTCAACACCGCCTGGCGTAGGCAGAAAAATGCCTCGCTTCCCCCCCAGCACCAAAAGAAAGATGCCCACGTCTTAATCCCCGGCATCTGTGAATGCGTGGCCTCACGTGGCAACAGGGAGTTTGCATCCGTGACCCTCACATGCAGAGGGCACCTGGCTTATGCAGGTGGGCATCAGCAGGGTCCTTAAGAGGGAGCGTGCCAGGCCGAAGAGAGGGGAGGCCGGAAGGGGAGCTGGTGTGACCCGCGGGCCAGCTGGGTGGGGAGGAGGGGCTGGGAGCTGCGGGTGCAGAGCCTCCAGCCACGGGGACAGACAGGAGCCGCCTGCCCACACCTTCACTCCAGCCCCGAGGTGAGGCGGGCTTTGGACTCTGACCTCCAGAACGCTGAGATAACAATTTGTGTTATGTTAAGCCAATGAGTCTGTGATCGATGAATGTATACCTGATATCTATATGTTTTAAAGTGTGTATGTAATGTCCCAAAAATGTATATACACTTCAAATAATTATTAATTCCCATAGGTTAAATCTGAAAAGAAAGAAACATCAATTGAGCTATAAACTGTTAAAGTGTGGTTCTGGGGGGAAAAATGAAAAAAAAAGTGTGTTTTGAGGAACACCCAGCGTGTGTGTGTGTGTGTGTGTGTGTGTGTGTGTGTGTTTTAAATTGTAGTTTAAGGAGCTGCTGCACACACACACACACACACACACACACACACACACAACTGACTTCATGAGCAAATCTACCAAACACATAAGGAAATTTTCATGCCAAGTTGATAGAGACTCATGCACAGGATAGAACAAGAAGAAATACTGTTATGGGGTCAATTCATTTTATGCGGCCAGCATTACTCTGATGCCAGAGCTGAACAAAATATTTCAAGAAAAAAAATAACAACTGCAGACCAATATCCCTCATGAACATAGAAACGATAGTTTTCAAAAATATATCAGAAGTCATATCCAGCAACATACAGAAATGATACCACATCATGACAAAGTGCAGCTGTCCTGGGAACGCAACGTTGTGCCACATTTGAAAATCAACGGACGTGGCCCAGCCGGTGTGGCTCAGTGGTTGAGCATCATCCATACACCAGGAGGTCACGGCTTGATTCCCGGTCTGGGCACATGCCCGGGTTGTGGGCTTGATCCCCAGTGGGGGCCGTGCAGGAGGCAGCCAATCAATGATTCTCTCATTGATGTTTCTCTCCCTCTCCCTTCCGCTCTCTCTCTAAAATCAATAAAAATGTATTTTTTTAAAAAAAAAAATTTAAAGAAAATCAACTGATGTAATTCACCTTATCAGTAGGAAAAGAAGAAACGCAGAGTCCGGTTCAAGACGGAGACGCACGAGGACCTTGAACTCACCTCCTTCCCCGGCCGCACGGCCGCACAGCGAGTGCAGACACTTTCTTCTAAAATAAACTGCACCCCACGCCAGCGAGACACCCCCTACATTGACTCGGCGGGAAAGACACCTCACCATCAACTCCCCCAGCGCAGTGGTCCTCAGCATCTCCCTGAGGAGTGAAGGGCCTGAACCCCACACCTGGCGCCCCAACTTGTAAAACCTACACCTGAGATACAAGCCCCATAATATCTAGCTTTCAAATCCAGCAGGGCTGGCGTCCACGAGACCCCCAAGGCTCTGGCGAACTGAGAACAACTTAAAGGGCCGGCACAGACTCCCCGACCGGGGGGCCCAGCACAGAGGCAGCCCCTGAAAAGCGCCCCCACTGCCAGGAGGAGGGGCTTCTACGCTTATCTTTTTGTTTGTTTTAATCCTCACCCAAGGATATTTTTTCCATTAATTTTTTTTAAGGGAGTGGAGGGGAGGAAGGAACAGGAGAGGGGGTGAGAGGGGGAGAAAGCGCGAAACATCAATGTGCGAGACATCGATTGGTTGCCTCCCACATGCACCCCAACTGGGGCCAGGGATGGAGCCGGGCACACGCCCTTGCCCAGGAATCGAACCCATGACCCTTCAGTCTGTACGCCGACACTCTATCCACTGAACCGAACCAGCTAGGGCTTGTATGTTTATCTTTTTTTTTTTAATTGATTTCAGAGAGGAGGGGAGAGGGAGCAAGAGATATAAACATAGATGAGAGAGAGCACATTGATTGGCTATTTCCTGCACACACACACTGGGGATGGAGCCCGCAACCTGGGCATGTGCCCTGACTGGGAATCAAACCGTGATCGCCTGGTTCATAGGTCGAGGCCCCACCACTGAGCCACACCAGCGGACTTGTATGCTTATCCTGACGAGCCAGCACGAGGGCAGCTTCTCGTGGACACAGTCCCGGCCTCCGGAAACCCCCTGCAAGGCGGAGGCCACACTCAGCCGCTGGGCCTCCGGAAAGGAGCTGTACACCCTCTGCCGCCCTGCCTTTGGGACCCAGGAGACACCTGTCCTTTGCCTGCTCTGGGGCCGCGGGCGCATGCTCACGGGTCCCAGGAAACTGGACGGATGGAAGCGTTCCTGGCCGCCACCACCCCACAGTGGAGAGGCACCCAGTGTCCCGTATCTTCAGAGCAGTGGCCCAACACACGAAACACACCTGGAGGGCTGCCCGGAAGAGGCAGCATGGCCACGCTCTTCCCGCCATGCCCTCCCCGCCACATCCTCCCCGCCACGCCCAAGCGCCCCTCTCTGGGAGGGAGCCTGCCATGCACCTGGTGCCCCACTTGGTGGCTGCTACCCAGGGCCCTCCCGGCCCCCTGGCTGTGGAGGCCAGTGCAGCTTGGTTCCCAGGGCCCATGGGACACACCAAACCAGCAGTTCCTGGCAGAAGCCACCACGGGGACACTGCACAGAGACGGAACCAGTCCTCGTGGCATCCCTCCGGGAGAGTGGCCTACTGGCTTACTTGGGACGTTTACAGGGGACCCCCAGGGCGCCATCTGGGGATGGAGGGGGCGCCCCTCCGCCCTCTGCCTCCGCCTCCTGCAGGCGCCCAGGCCTGCACCTCCAGCAGCTCGTGTGCCTGTGTGGCAGAATTTCTGCACCTGCTGCCCAGGTACCCCTTCCTTCACCAGCTCAGCTGCCACCAGGCTGTGCTCCTGGCCCCGCGGGACTGGACCATTACAGGCAAGGACAGTTCTTCCCCACGCCCCGCCCCCCGCCCCCCCGTCCCCCAGGGCACAGCAGAGACCACACACAGAGACGCACCCATCTTCCTGGGAAAGGGCTACCGGCTTATCTTGATAGCTGCTGTTAATTAAACTAAACATGGAGGGGCTGCCTGCAGGCCTCTACAGGGACCAGGGGGGTTGGGGGTGCCATCGCCACGCTGCCCCGCCCCCCTGCCCACGGTGCCTGTGTCTCTGTGACTGAGAGGAGCCTGTGCACACGTCTGGGCCCCGGCTTTGGTGGCCGCCAGCAGAGGACACATCGTGACAGCCTGGCTCTAGCGGCCAATGGGAGGTCACAGGTTCAGCGAAATGCACACAAAGAAGCAGTTCTTCACTGGCCTTCACCCCAAGCTCAGCGCAGAGGGCGCAGCCCATCTCCCAGCCTTCCCCTCGAAGAGGTACACTTCATCCTTTAAAAGCTGCTGCCCGCCCTGGCTGGTTTGGCTCAGTGGATAGAGCATTGGCCTGCGGACTGAAGGGTCTCGGGTTCAATCCCAGTCAAGGGCACATGCCCGGGTTGCAGGCTCGATCCCCAGTAGGGGGCGTGCAGGAGGCAGCCGATCCATGATTCTCTCTCATCATTGATGTTTCTCTCTCTCTCCCTCTCCCTTCCTCTCTGAAATCAATAAAATTATATTTTTTAAAAATAAACAAAAGTCTAATCACTATGCTATACAGTTGAAACTAATATAATATTGAATGTCAGGTGTAATTGAAAATGTTTAAGTAAATAAATAGACTAGAAAAAAAGAAAATAGCAAACATGCGTGAATGATAGAAGAAAACTAGCTCTCTGAATGTTTCGGTGAAGTTTCAGCGTTTCTACGAAGCATCGTAAGCCTCGCGGAAATGGTGCCACAGGGACGCGCTGCCCGTGGGCCGAGACCTGGCCGCGAGCTCGGCTCCCGCTGCAGGGGACGTGGTTGGCCAGCTGCGTGTGGGCGTCTCACCCCCAGGCCCGCGGCACACCCCTCACCGTCAAACATGTTACATTCCCCAACACACACACCCACAGGCCGGGGAGGACATGTTTATTGCGCGGACCCTCTGAAGGCACCACACGATTCCCAGGTGTCACTCGGTGGCCCAGCGGCCGACGAGCCTCCAGGTTCCCAACTTGCAGCTGGGCGTCCAGTCCGGCCGCCTCTTCCAGGGACACGCGGGAGGCAGCTTTGGTCTGAGTGAGGGAGTGGCTTGAGGGGAGTCAGAGAGGAAGGATGAGCAAGAAGCCCCGTGCCCGCCTGCGTCTGCGACACGCGTGGGCCATGGGCGTGGGGACAAGGGCGGCGGGCAGGGGTAAGGCAGCGAGTGGCCTCGGGCAGCGGAGCGGCGAGCGGTGCTGAGGGCGGTGGCGGCACGGGCGGGCACAGCGGGGTCCCTGGTGGCACCTCAGTCATCTTCACCCCCGCAGAGCAGCAGGAGGGCTCTCTTGTAGTCCCCGGACGTGTCGCTCTGAAACCCAAAGGCTCTCCGTGAGCGACCCCCGCAGCGGCCGCGGGGAACAGAGAGAACCAGCCGGCAGGGAATTTCACCGGGACTTTTCCCCGAAGCGGTGACCCGACTGTCACACCGGGGATGTCACGGGGTTTCCTGCCGACACAGCCTCTCGCTCCCGGCTCTCCCCGCCACGGGTGCGCGTGGTCTGCGTGGATTTCTACACGGAGCATCGAGCAAGGCCCTCACCTTAATCATGGAGTAGAGCGAGGTGGCGAAGTTCTTCCGGAACTCCTTCCTGATGTTGAACAGGTCCACCTCGCTCCGGGACACGATGACCCTGATGAGGGTGTGGTCGTCGGTGCCGGCGCCCTGGAGAAGGACAGGCAGGCCCCGTTTACAGACCCGCACTCCCGAGCGGGGCGCACCCGCTGAGCAAAGCCAGGTAGTGACATGCAGCTACGAGCTTTAAGGAGAGAGGAAAGTCCCCAAGGCCACCGCCTAAACCGCAATCGCGGTCGCAGGGGGAGAAAGGACCAGAGAGAAGCGAGTGAGGGGGACTTGCCTTCATCGCGTAGTAGAGCGTTTCGGCCAGGTAGGCGGGGATGCTGCGGATGCACTTCACTAGGAGAGCAAGAACATCAGGTCAGAGGCTAATCTGGTAAGAAAGGGACCAAGAAGCCCTGGCTGGTTTGGCTCAGTGGGTAGAGCGTCGGCCTGCGGACTGAAGGGTTCCGGGTTCGATTCCCAGCGTGGGGAGTGCGGAAGGCAGCCGATCAATGATTCTCGCTCATCATGGATGTTTCTATCCCTCTCTCCCTCTCCCTTCCTCTCTGAGATCAATAAAAATATATTTATTTTTAAAAAGGGACTAATTAGAAGTCCCAGGCTGCCTCGCACGGAAGGCTGTCTATTCCCGAGGACAGAGCGACCTCCTGGGAGCTGAGCTGCAAGTATTTCCCCAGACGGGGACTCCCTCAGGCCCCGCTTCCCCAGCAGGGGGCGCAGCGCCGGGGGTGGGTCTGAGGCCACTGTTCCCAGCACCCTCCCTTCTGGCAGTTTCAGTAGCGTGGTTGTTATGGCACAACCTTCATCAGCCCCGAGAAAGTCTACAAGCATCCTGGAGGTCTCCTTCCAGTCTATGCCAGCCAGTAACACGGATTTCTCTTCTCCCTGACTGTCCCCCGCCATCATAACTGAGGTGTTCGGTCTGCACCCTGCACACCTGGGTGCCCAGGGACAGGGCCCAGTTCAGAAGGAACCAGGTAAACATGTGGCAGAAAAGGGCACCTCCCCTGGACGGGCACCTGCCCCCCCATCTCCTGGGGCGGCCGCTCGGCCCCCAGGCTGCTGCGCTGCAGAGCGCTTACATGAAAATCCCTCACGATACAAAAATCACCCTCCACGGGGCGGGGTAACTTTTCCAATGCTTAGAAAAAGCCCAGCCACCAGCGACTACACCCGTCACAATGCTCACGTGCAGCGGGCGCGCCACTCGAACCCGCGGGAAACTGGGCCGGGGCCCGGCCTCCTCGGCCTGCCCCGGATTTGGAGAACATGAGATACTGCAAGGAACTGCACCCACTCAGTTCCCCCCTTTTTCCGGATTATCCTGAATGTGCAGCTAAAACGAAATTCCAGTCATTTATCTGAAAACGACCGTGGTCACAGCTCCCGGTTCATCTAAGACACTTTTCCTACATCGGGCGCCGCGTCTCAGCCGCCACGGAGCCGGGAGGACAGTGCCGGGAGAGCATGGCGTCCCGCAGGCATCGGCCGTAACGGGGACCAGCCTCCAGGTGATGCCCACTTTCGGGGTGATCGGGGAACAGTAGGACTTTTAATGCCGCTTCAAAATGGTTTTTAGACAATTCCCTTTATGATCCCACAGGAGCTAACGAGATCATCAAGAATTTCCAACATCAGAGCAGGCATCCCATTGGACACGTAGGCGTTGGCGTCCTACAAGTTCTTCTTTTCCTAAGAAATCGGTGTTGATGTTCAGACACAGCCTGAGCTGAATGAACTCCGGAGCTCTCGATACCACGCGTGTCACGTACGCCGTACAGGTGCCTACCCACAGCCAGGAGCAGCTGCTCCAAGTTGCCCGAAGTCTCCCGGTCGATGGTCTCCTCGATCTGGAACCCCGAAATGGTCATGTACTTGTCAAACACTGAAGGAGAGAAAGATGAGCTCAACACCGGGGCTCACTCTCCACAGAGAAGGCCCTTCCCTCCCCGGCACTGCCCTTCCGGACGCAAAGCCCCCTTCTCCTTCCTGACGGAGCCCGACTGCGTCCGAGCCTCGAAGGGCCCCAAACACCTGCTGACAACGGTCCTGCTCCCTGATCCCCCGGCCCTGAGCTACGGGACCGACGGGGAAATCCGGAAGATTCGGAGACGCCTTCCTTTCCTTATAAAAGTCACGGAAGCGCGTTTCCATCTTCCTTTTCTTCTCGCTGTGAAAACGGTCGCTACGTTTGGGGCTACAGCCGCCATCCTGTGACATGGGACGGAGCGCGAGGGAGCGAGCCAAGCGCTGAGGACAGCGGAACAGAGATCAGGGGCCATGCTGCCGGCCACTGCGGCACGGTTTCCCGTCACCGGCCCCTGAACTCATTCCCGCCTGGCACCGTGGGTAACGGGGAGTATCCAACCTAATAAACTGTGGACAACTTATTAAAACCCGGAGAAGCAACCGAGCGCCGACCTATCCAGAGAAGAGGGGTGGTGACCGCTGTCCGGAGGGAATGCCTGCAGGGCCCACAGCTCAGGTCAGTGACTGAGCACGACAACCCAGAGCCTGCCTCTCCCTCGCAGAGCGAGAGTGGACAAGGAGCTCTCGCTTTTAAAAAGCTACGACAGCCGCGAAGAGAGCGATGCGAGTCCTCTGGGTCCCCAAGAAGCGAGTAGACGCGGACCCGCCCGCAGGTGCGCCCGCCGGCAGCCGAGGGCCTCCCCGCACCGCGTCCCCGCACTCACCCCTCCGCAGGTGGGACACGCTCCGCGTCCCGAAGATGGTGATGAACTTCTCCTCGTCCGTGCCCCACTTCAGCTCTCCCGCCTGGAACAGCGTCTGCGGAGAGTTCCACCCAGTCAGCCCCGCTCCGGCCTCTCGCTGGCATCACACCCGGCTCCACTCCCCGAACCGGAACCCGCCCAGTGCATCGTCGGACCCTTTTCCACCCTCATGGTTCCTATCCTGACCTCCGACCTGAGTCTGGGGCTACTTGGGGCCCCGAGGATGAACTGCCATGGAAGACGGGTGGGTCAGAGCTAAACGCAGCTCTGGCCCCGGGTGAGTGTCCCCAGTGTGGCCGTGACCGGTCTCTCCGGGGCCCCGGGGTGTGGGCCAAGTTCTGAGCGGCCACGCACAGGCTGGGAGGGAGTGGCCTGACCAGGGGCTGCGTCCTCTGCCTTTTCTGTTTTCCTGCTCTGGGTTCGCCTGGTAGAAAGTAGCTTCCTGTTTTCTCTTCACACCTGACAGTGAGCCCGAGCAAGCCTCAGACCGTCCTCGCGTGGCTCGGTCCTCGTGTGGCTGCGAGATGGGCCTCTGACAGGCCCTCCCGTGACTGACAGCTCAGTTCCACATGTGCCTTTTCACAGGGAAGGGATGTGTGCCCTCCGGTGCCCATGTAATTACGGGGGGCACGAAAGTATATGGACATCAGCACTCAACCGGAGGCCCCCTACTGCAATGTGGACGATTTACTGGAACCCAGAGGCGCAATCCTCACAATGTCTGTGCTACCCTTTCAGTTCCGCACTTCACGGCCAGCACGCCCAGGACGCCAAGGGGAAGGCAAGTGGCTGAGGCTGCGGCTGGGAGCCGCCCCGTCCCCCCAGTGGCAAACCAAACGGGGCCAGGCGGCGGTCGCGGCACATGGGCACGTGGGTGCGTGGGCATTTCAGCCACGCTGCGTTCAAGAATAGAGACTGCAGTTCATTTCCAGAACACGAGACAACGAGTTCCATCTTTACACTCAATTCTGAAATTATTTTAACGATAAAAATAAAAAGCATCAATCCTGGTCCTGTGAGCATGTGCTTTAACATGGGGAAGATCCGCCAGCCGGCGTGGCTCAGTGGTCGAGCGCCGACCTATGAACCTTGAGGCCACGGTTCGATCCCCAGTGTGGGGCTGGCAGGAGGGAGCTGATCCATGATTCTCTCTCATCACTGATGTTTCTATCTCTCCCTCTCCCTTTCTCTCTGAAATCAATAAAAAATATATATTAATTTTTAAAAAGTGAAGGAAATGTACACAGGCCTTGTGCTTTGAGAGAACAGACAGGCGCCATTGCAACACGGCACGGAGAACGCCATGAGCACGGACTCTCTTCGCTCGGGTGTCATACGCAGCCGCCACACACGGGGCCACTCACCTGGGCGTCCTGTTCAACCTGCGCCTCGTTGATCCCGGCGTCGGGGTCCCTATTCGCCTGCGAGAGAGAACAGACACCCCCAGCTACAGCGGTGTTTCCCCGGGAAAGGAAGCGGCGCCACCTGCTGGCTGTGCGCAGAAAGCTTTTCTCTCGGGAATAACGTACTTTTATTAAGATCCTATCAGTGTTTCCCCTTATTGCACAGCGCGGTCCAACCCCGACCCGATCCTCTTGGTTTTAAATTCTATGAGTAAAAGAGGACAGCGACACCCCAGAAAGCTGCCAGTCAGCTACGAGGCGTCCGCTCAGACCCGAGACAGACGGCCCCCACACAGCCAGCACCGAGCGGGCACCAGAAATGACTGACAGAATCGCGAGTGGCCTCGCTTCACGGGTCAGGCCAGTCTGGCTTGGGTTTCCTTTCGCACTGCCACGCCCACCCGGTACCTGCAGGAGGACCACCAGCATCCTCTGGTAGAACCCCGAGGTGTCCCCCACCACGTCGTCCTCCAGGCTCGAGCCGTATTCTGCAACAGAACAAGGTGAGACGTAGTCACAGCTCCGGCAGCGAGAAGAGACCCCGCCCCCTTCGCCAGCGGAGGACACAGAGGGAGAAGCTCCGCTCAGCCCAGCTGGCGGGACCCGTGAGCCAGGAGGTCGCGGTTCGACTCCCCGTCAGCGTCAGGGCACACGCCCGGTGGCGGCTCCATCCCCAGGACCACAGGAGCCCGCAGCCCTTGTTACTAACTTGCAGCCGCCACTGAAGGAAGGAGGTGCCTCCAAGGCATTTAAATATTTCATCGCTATTGGAAGGCAGACAGCATTTAAAAGCCTGAGACATCGGTTGGGATTGGCGTGCAGGAGGCAGACCATCAATGATTCGCTCATCACTGGTGTTTCTCTCTCTCTTTCCCTCTCCCTTCCTCTCTCTGAAATCAAGAACATTTTTTAAAAATTGATCTTAACTTTAAAAAAGAAGTATCTGATTGGCATAAACGTTCTCTGCTCTGAGTGCCCCAGAGTGTGACGCCAAGGCTCCGAGTGAGCGGCTGGACCGAGAGGCATTCGGTTCCCCAGCAGCACTGGGTCCCCGCCCGAACCGGGACTCAGCCGCTCACAAGCGCTCGGGCCAATGACACTGCGAGCCTGCGTGCACGGCGGCACGGGGACCCCAGCGCAGGCGCTCCCGGGCTGACTGCCTCCTCCTTCCAGATGTGTGCAGCACGGCCCCAAGGTCTCCCGCCCTCCGGACCAGCGACCTTCAACCTCTCCCATCTCACGGCATAAACGAACCACTGAACTCCTGCACGCCAGCACATAGGGTACTTTTTGCCAATGACACACACACAAAATGAGGCATCATTTTGATTCGTTCACACCAGACGGCTACTGTTGTGTTGGCTGCTGTCACTTTTTCCTTTGACAATCTAAGGCAGCGGTTCTCAACCTGTGGGTCGCGAACCGTTGGGGGGCCTGAACGACCCTTTCACAGGGGTTGCCTAAGACCATCCTGCATATCAGATATTTACATGACGATTCATAACAGTAGCAACATGACAGTTATGAAGTAGCAACGAAAATAATTTTATGGTTGGGTCACAACATGAGGAACTGTATTTAAAGGGCCAGAAGGTTGAGCACCACTGATCTAAGGGGAAAGGTCGGCGCCCCTGACTCAGCAGTCAGGGGCTGCATGTTTTAAACATTCATGCGGCACACCAGATGAAAACTGAGGCTCTGACAGTCTCAGTTGTCTTTCTTGGGGAACGGCCATCCTTCCACTAAAAGGGTCCTTTTCCTCCGCAGCAAATGCAGTTCACGCTGAGGGCAGCAGTGGCAGCTTAAACCAGGCCGCTGCCCGCCACACATTTCAGCTCTTCCTCCGCGGCCGAGGCAGGGAGACCAGACCGCAGGAGCCCGCAGCGCCGCCGAACGAAGGCGGCCGACCCAAGGCATTTAAATATTTCATCGTTATTTGAGAGCAGCCAACACTTACAAGCCTGAAACTTCTACAGTGGGGCCTTGACTTATGAGTGTCCTGACTAACGAGGTTTTTTTTGAGATACGAGCCGTCTCTTGGCCGATTTTTTGCTTTGAGTTGCAGCTCAAAAAAATTCGGGTTACGAGCCAGCTTCAGATACCCCACCACTAGTTGGCGCAGCGAACGTCACAGTGATTTGACAGACGAGTAATTTGAGTTATGAGCTCCGTCACAGAACGAATTAAACTCGTAAGTCAAGGCCCCACTGTATTTAAAAAGGTCCAAGAGCGTTGTATGTTTATTTCAATCAGTTACCCAAATACAAACCCTGAAGGAACCCTTCCTCGCTCCCTCCACTCAACACCTTTCACACGTGTCTCCTGCACGATTCATTCTGCGCACCTGCCACCCACCTGGACGGTCGGACCTGCCTGGCTTACCTCCCGCCCACACGCGGGCACCTGATCCGCCATTGATGCAGATCCTTCCTCCTGGTCCTTCAACACCCCTCGCCCACCGGGAAGCGCTGTGCCTTTAACCAAGGCCGACCTGCTGACCCGCCATGCGGATCCCCTGTGCCGGCCTAACTCGCCTGCTCAGGTTCTCGCCACCCGGACACACGCGTTTCCTCCCCACGGTCGGGCTCTGTCCCCTCCATACACTTTCCCCAGCCCGGTCTCCGTGGCTGCAGGCCGTGGGTGGGCGACCCAACTGCCTTCCTTCTCCCCCGACCCACCCCCTACTCCCCACCCGCCACCCCTGTCTCAAAACCCTGCTCAGCGCCTGACTATACCATGAAGACCCTCCCAACACCCAAAGCCTCTCTTCTCTGAGCGAATTCCTGCATAAAGGCTGTGGGTAATTGGCTTCAGTTTGAGGTTTCCGGTCCTGTAATTACTGCCGCTTCTCTAAGTCCCGTCACCCCTGAGTAGGCAGCAAATGCCCTGAGGGCACAAACCAGGCCTGGTGCATCTTCCCTGTCACTCATGACAGCCCACACGCTGCCCCTGCAGGGACCACACGCAGGCACCCGGCAGCCACCGGGGCACACTGGCTCACTCTTCCAGGTCAGAATGGGATACCTGACTGTGACCTGGGCACGGCTCTCAGGTGACCACAGGCCTCTGAGATGCACGTCCCACCTCTGCCTCGCGGTTGGGGCTGTCCAGCCGTAACAGCAGAAGCAGGCAGGAGTGTTACAGGGCCCCAGGGCAGGAGGACTAGGGAAACTGAGGCAGGGGAGTTAAAACAAGGCCAAACAGTGCAGCCAGCTTGTAACTAGCAAGCCATTATCTTCCCAGCCACAAACATGAGAGCAAATGGTGAAAAACCTTCGGAATGAGAGAATGCAGAGAGGAAGGGGGAGGAGAAAGGGGAAAAGGCAGTTCTACTCCCTTAGCAGGGAAGCCTGCAGTCTCAGGCTGGGCAAGATAAAGTTGCAGGTGCTTCTCATGAATTCTGGGAAGGTCACAACAAAGGAAAAAAAGGGCCTTGCACCAAATCACTCTGCACCAAAACAGCCAGCAGGGGAGTGTAGAAGCCTATGGACAGGAGGGTATATGACGCCTCAGACCCCACCCAACTCGCTCTTCAGTGAGCTGAAAGCCCGTCTGCACTTCATGGGCCAGATGCCTAGGTTTGCTGGCTTTGCTTTTGCTTCTTTCAATCGAGATGCAGCTTTAATTGCTTTAATAAATTGGCTTTTCACAAGGCAGTCAAGGTCCCTCGTATAAATCTACAATAATAAGAGCGTAATATGCTAATTAGACCGGACAGCCGAACAGCGGAACGACCCGGCTGCGAGGGCCGAGCCCCTCGCCTGAATTTCGTGCATCGGGCCTCTAGTTCATTTATAGGAGAAGATGAGGATGGAGGTTGGGGACAGCCTCTCCCCCTGGCGCAGGGGGCTGTCCTGTCCGGGAACCCCGCTCTGGTGTCAGTGAGAGGGGCCTATGACAGAGAGACCAGCACTTGGGAAGGTAGCTGTTCAGCTGCTGTAAACCCCACACTGTTCTGACTTGCTGGGTCCCAGCGGACATTCCTAAGATTAACAAACGAATGCTCCTGGCTGAGAGCAGCGGGCCTGGCGGCCTGAGGACTGGCCGCCATCCGGAGGACGGCTGGTCCCTCCGCCAGGCAGGGCGAGGCTGGTACAGGACATCTGACGGGGAAACTCTCTACTACCTTTACTTTTATTTTCATTTTCCTGGTTCCATTCACAGAATATGCTTCAGACCGGCAGACTTTTTTTCACAGGAAAAGTAAGGCCCGCCAGAAAGAGGAGCCAGCATGGAGCCCTCACACGCTGCCGTCGCCGAATGGCATGCCTGGCCGCGGACGCTCAGCCGGGTGAAATGTCTTTTTACCTTAGATAATTCTCAACTTTGCTAACAGAAAACTGAACTTTTATAAGGTCGAACAAACCCCTACATCTTTCCCTTTTGCTAATCCTCACCCAAGGATATATCTTTTTTTTAACACTGCTTTTACGGAGAGCGGGAGGGGGAGAGAGAGCAAAACACTGATGTGAGAGAAAACATCGACTGGTTGCCTCCTGCACGCACCCGACCAGGGGTTAGGGAGTGAACCCGCAACCCAGGTAAATGCCCTCGCAAGGAATCTAACCCTCACCCTCTGGTGCACAGGCTCACCCCCTAACCACTGAGCCACGCTGGCAGGGCCTGCTTACATCTTAAAGTGAATATGAAAGAAAGACCCACTGTGTATCCCTACGCTAGTGGCAGATCCTATCTAAACAGGAATGCCGTCTTCATCCAAAGCTCCTTATAAAACTAAAAGTTACCCACAAATAACTACATTAGCTATGGGTAAGGGGGTCGGGGGGAGAAAAGCAACTTGAATGGTTTCTCACTTATTCCCTCACGCATTCGTCCAGCAGTCACACGTGGCCTGCCTCCTGCAACCACGGACCTGCCTTCGCTCTAGAGCAGCGGTTCTCAACCTGTGGGTCGCGACCCCTCTGGCGGCCGAACGACCTTTTCACAGGGGTCGCCTAAGACCATCCTGCATATCAGATATTTACATGACGATTCATCACAGTAGCAACATGACAGCTATGAAGTAGCAACGACAATAATTTTATGGTTGGGTCACATGAGGAACTGTATTTAAAGGGCCAGAAGGTGGAGAACCACTGCTCGAGAGAAATGGAGGAGGGACGGGGGGGACGAGAAACGCAGGTTGAGCCTGTACCTTCCTCGTAGATGTTCTTTATGGCCGTGAGCTCCTCGGGGGTCCTGGAAGCAATGATCTCCGTTAGGACTTTCTCGTCCGTCCCCGCTCCCTGTGGAGATTAATTTTCAATAAAAAGGACATGTCAACAGACTAAAAAGGAAGCGATCCTCCTAGAACAGACGTTACCCAAATTGCAGGATCATACAAAGAGTGCCCAACATGACAGTCCCTTCTTTGCATGTGCGTCCCGTTAGTTACAGGAATAAGAAACTGCAAATTAAGACAATTTTACCCCTTGTTGTCTAATGAAAAACAATGTCCATTGTAAGTGTGCATACAGAGACAGCAGGTTATACAAACCTGTAATTTTATCAGCTTAATTCTAAATAGTTTAAAAGTAAAGCATTTTAATGAAACATGGAAAAATAAAAGAGGCTGAAATAGTGCAAATGTAACTCTAAATATGGATTTATATAGAGAAGCACTGACACTTAAACAATCGACCCAAAACATCAGCCCTGCCCCCACCTCAGGTCTCCGTGGGCGCACGGGGGCATCTGAGCAGAGGTGACAGGCAGTGTGGCTCAGTGAGCAGGAACTGAATCAGTCAAAGGATTGGGACCTGCTTTCTGGAGTTTTGAAAAATAATTGTAATCAGCCCTAACCGGTTTGGCTCAGTGGATAGAGCATCGGCCTGCGGACTCAAGGGTCCCCGGTTCGATTCCGGTCAGGGGCATGTACCTTGGTTGCGGGGACATCCCCAGTAGGGAGTGTGAAGGAGGCAGCTGATTGATGTTTCTCTCTCATCGATGTTTCTAACTCTCTATCCCTCTCCCTTCCTCTCTGTAAAAAAAAAATCAATAAAATATTTTTTTTTAAAAAAAGAAAAATACTTGTAATCAGTTTTCCTTTTATTGATGATAAAAGTCACAGCGACACTGATAAATTAGAAGATACAAGCAACGATATAACCTACCTCAAGTTTAAAAGGTAGTATGTGTAAGCATTATTCTCTTCATATCTCTGTTTCTTTACCCAAAATCAAGCCCTTGGAAGGCCTGGATGTACGCTCTGGCAGGACCTTAGCTGCTACCACTTCACAGCACGCCACCAAGACACCCCGTCTCCGGTGCCCTAAGACAGTGTTTGCTCCCAAAGAGTCGCTGTAGGAAAATGCAGGGCGTAGGCCCAGGAAGGCCCCTAACTTGGTACCCCTCCTCCCCCCACTCCCACGAGGAATCCCTGGGCCACATCATCTCTTTGTTATTCTATCTGTTTCCTTTTCCTCCGAACTCAAAACTGCTACTGAATGAAGTTTCCAGCGCCGTAGGTCCAACCACCGTTTCAGTGTCGCCAGACTTACACAGAAGTTCCAGCACCCGTGGGGGACACGCCGTTAGTTATCGGCTACAAGGAAAGTGTGACGAGTTCACCGGACTCTCCCAGGGAAGGGTGCAACAACACCACTCTGATCTGAAAATTCCCCGAAGCTTTATTGTTTAACCGCTAATGATTAACCATACTATTTTCCCCAACTCGCCAACTTCCTATTTTAGAAGATAAAACACCTAACCTGTAACATTTTAAAGACACATCTCAAAATTAGAAACAGGCTTAAAAGATCTAAAAGGCTGTAAAAAATGTTAAAAAATTTAAATAGCGCCCAGCTGGCGTAGCTCAGTGGTTGAACATCGACCTATGAACCAGGAGGTCGTGGTTCGATTCCCGGTCAGGGCACAGGCCTGGGGTGTGGGCTCCATCCCCGGTGTGGGGCGTGCAGGGGGCAGCCGATCAATGATTCTCTCATTGTTGATGTTTCTATCTCTCTCCCTCCCCCTTCCTCTCTGAAATCAATATATGTATGTGTGTATATATATATATACACACACACATATATATGGGTATATATATATGTATATATGCATATATGTATATATATGTGTATATATATGCATATGTGTGTGTGTGTGTGTGTGTGTGTGTGTGTGTGTGTGTGTGTGTATATATATATAGTAAATAGCCACTATTACTGAGTAAACTATACAAGAAGGATTAAATGATTAAATGACACGCCTGTAACTGCCTCCGCCTCTCCCCTGATTGCCCCCCACAGTTCTGCTCTCCAGGAAACCCTCGCAGGAATAACAGTATTTTTACGATGAAGGAGGGGAGGTCACGAGCACAGACCCACATGGGGAGGCGGGGCGCCCTGTACCTTGAGGGCGTGCTTCAGCTCGTAGGCGTCGTAGAGCCAGGAGGGCTTCATCAGGGCCACGATCAGCTTCTCGAACTTCCCCGTCAGCTCTGACTTCAGGTCGTCCAGCAGGTCCTGCTCAGAGAACACAGGCGCGTCACCAGGCGCACACGCCATCTTCGCCGGGAACGGCAGCCCTCGCTCTGAAGGGCACCCCTCGCTCTGAAGGGCGCCCCTCGCTCTGAAGGGCTCCCCTCGCTCTGAAGGGCTCCCCCGCAGGAGGCGCGGAGCGAAGCCAAAGCCAAAGCCAAAGCCGCGGCTCTGAGCGCTGCGCACGCCCCGGCCTGGGCTCGAGGGGAAGCAAGGCCTCCCTCCCTGTCAAGGTCGCTGTTCCAGAGATGTTTCTCTTCCTTCAGGAATTAAAAAAATGAAAACTTCAAAAGGACACAAAAAAATCTGTCTTACAAATACTGCTCTGAGAAACCTGTAGCTTTAAAAAAAAACTTCCCCCCAAAAAATCGTAAGTGTATGTTGACAAAGGGTAAAAACTGGCCCATCCTCTCTTTCCTCTGTGTCACGGAGGACGCGCTGTGCCCGACGGGGCCTGCACCGTGGAAAACGTGCTCGCGGGTGAGAAGGAGAGCGGATGCCCAGCCCCTCCACTGAGCCTCCTGACAGCTGGAAACTGGGTTGGAAGTGCCTGCTGCTGCTGCTGCTTCTTTTTTTTTTGCTTTGCATTTATTTCTAAATGAAAGGGCAAATGAAAATTTGCAGAATGATGGAATGACACCCAAGTTTTTATGGAGGCGCCCATTCATTTCGTAACAAATTTAATTTCCGTTTGAATTGTCAAAACACCCTCCCCATCTAGACTGTGCCTGTGTCCTGACGACACGCACCGTGGCCCAGGCCAACAGCTGGGAAACAGAAGCCGGGACCCCTAGGACACCCTGGGGAGGCCGGGACCCCATGGGACACCATGGGGAGGCCGAACCCCATGGGACACCCTGGGGAGGCTGGGACCCCGTGGGACACCCTGGGGAGGCCAGAGCCTGTGGGACACCCTGGGGAGGCCGGGACACCTGGGGAGGCACAGCAGGGCGGGGTCCAGCCTCACGCAGGAAGGGCAATGTGTGGGGACAAGCGGGTGAGCACTGTTCACCGACAGCTGCTAATTAAGCAAATGCGGGTCGGGGAGGAGGAAAGCTGGAATCGTTAAATACACGATTTCTGCCAAAATTTCAAACACATCTTAAACTCGCAGCTGCCGCAGTCGACGGGCGCGTCTTACCCGGCCAAACAGCGTCTTGAAGGCGGCCACGATCTCCTGGCGCTGCGCGTTGCTGCGGGCCGTCAGCAGCGTCAGGATGCTCTCCTCGTCGGTGCCTGCGGGGGGCGCTCGGTCAGGCCTGGCTGCACACCCACCGCCGCTCACCTCTGCAGCGGGGGCCCTCGGGGCCTCACCCCACACAACATGTCATGTTAGGAAACGCATTAAGCTAGAACGTGACCACATGCCCGATGTGGCACTGCCAGCACATCCACAGCCGCTGCTGCTCCGGGAAGCAGGCGGGAAGCCCTCCTGGCTTTCACACTGAGGGCACCGGTGTCCTCGCAGCAAACGGGGCTGTTCCCACGCACGAAGCCGTGGGGTTTCCAAGTAACGAGAGGGACAAAGAGGGAGACCTGGTTTCAAGTGGCAGACTGTTTAGGGAAAAAATACAGACACACACCACCCTGAGCTACGGCAGAACCGACAGGGCCCACGGGCGACCCAGGCACTAAGTGGGGCCCCAAGGAGGTTCTCGAAGTGAGAGGAGGTGGACGGGGTTTGGGAAAAGGTGCAGCCGTCAGTCTTGAAGGAACAAAGGCCAAGCAGAAAGAGGACGGGCTTTTGTTGGGATGAGAGGAAAGGGCAGCAGAGGGAACGCCAGGCGTTTGTGAACAGCAGGGACAGGGTGGCTCAGAAACCGGGGGGGAGTCAGACAGGCGGGCTGGGGTACCACGGAGGCCTGGCCAAGCCAGAGCCCCCCACTAGGAACCCTCCCCAAGGGCAGCCATGTCTGAGAAAGGTGGGTCCTAATACGGGGCCTGGGACAGGGGAGCACCTGGCGGAGGGGTCTGGGGAAGGGGAGCACCTGGTGCTGGGCCTGGGGAAGGGGAGCACCTGATGTTGGGCCTGGGGAAGGGGAGCACCTGGTGCAGGGTCTGGGGAAGGGGAGCACCTGGTGCAGGGCCTGGGGAAGGGGAGCACCTGGTGCTGGGCCTGGGGAAGGGGTGCACCTGGTGCTGGGCCTGGGAAAGGGGAGCCCCTGGTGCTGGGCCTGGGGAAGGGGAGCACCTGGTGCTGGGCCTGGGAAAGGGGAGCACCTGGTGCAGGGCCTGGGGAAGGGGAGCACCTGTTGCAGGGGCCTGGGGAAGGGGAGCACCTGGTGCAGGGCCTGGGGAAGGGGAGCACCTGGTGCTGGGCCTGGGGAAGGGGAGCACCTGGTGCAGGGTCTGGCGAAGGGGATCACCTGGTGCAGGGCCTGGGGGTGGGGAGCACCTGGTGCAGGGCTTGGAGGCTGGGAACAGTGTATGTGGAAATCCTCGAGGACAGAGGCTGCTAAGTGGCTGGGAAGGAGGCTGGGACAGAGGATACAGGCGTGGAGGAGGCGTGAAGCGGGTGTTGCTGGCAAGGACAGCAGAGACTGCAGACGGGGGCCCGGGAAGGTCTGCTCCCCTGGCCATCACCCGCCACAGGAATGGCCGACAGGCGGCTGCAGACCCAGGCTGGTCAGTCCAGACCCTGAGCCCTGGGTGGTCAGGCGATGATTCCATCATCTCAGTGCACCTCTCTCTCCAAATCAAAATATCCCAAAATTAGTCCTCCTGTGAATCAATGACGTTTTGTTTGGAAAAACAATGATCCCGTTTCTTTAGAACAAAACGCAGGGGGCCTTACCCAGGCCCTTCATGGCCTTCCGGAGGGTCTCCGCATCCGCCCGCTCGTCAAACCCGGGGAAGTCGGTTACGGTGCCTCTGAGAGCCTGAGGCAGGAACAGGGGCATTATTCACAGTGTGACTACCACACACACAGAGCACGCACATACACGCACACACAGCACGCACGTAACATGCACACACAGCACGCACATAACACACACAGCACGCACACAACACACGCAGCACGCACACAACATACACAGCACGCACGTAACATGCACACACAGCACGCACATAACACACACAGCACGCACACAACACACACAGCACGCACACAACATACACAGCACGCACGTAACATGCACACACAGCACGCACATACACACAGCATGCACATAACACGCACACACAGCACGCACATCAACAGTGAGCCCGGCTCTATCACATCCCGGCGCAAATCAGCTCCCCGTGATAAGCTGAGTCACCCTATTGAAATGGGTGGATCAGCAAGACCATTCAGTGCACGGACTACAAGCCCCTGCAGCACCTCTGGGACTCAGTGGGAGACCCGCTGGGGGGGCGGCCCTCTTCCCTCCGGCATGGCCTCTGTGAGGACCCCCCACCCCCACCCCCACCTCCTGACTCTCTTCCTCCCCGACCTTCTTCGCGGGAAGCCTCTGGCCCCTGGTCCAGGAGCCCTCGGAGCCCACGTTCTAGCTCAGGGGTGGGCAAACTTTTTGGCTCGAGGGCCACAATGGGTTCTTAAACTGGACCGGAGGCCGGAACAAAAGCATGGATGGAGTGTTTGTGTGAACTAATATAAATTCAAAGTTAACATCATTACATAAAAGGGTACGGTCTTTTTTTTTTTTAGTTTTATTCATTTCAAACGGGCCGGCCCGCGGGCCGTAGTTTGCCCACGGCTGTTGGAAGCCCTAACCCAGGTGCGCTATGCTCTCGTTCTTTGACTTTGCGTGTAGCCCTATTTCCGTTTGCTTATTAGTAACTGTACGGTAACCTGACAACATCTGGGAGGTATTGGAAATGTGTGCGCCAGGAGAAGACGATCTTTGAATGACAACGGTGCATTGTGGGAGATTCTCTCTACATTTCCTGCTACCCACCCTTTGATCACACACACAGCACTTACAGCATCAACACATTTCATGCTCGCAACTTCTTTAGATCTTTAGCTGAAGAAGGCTCCCAATACTGAGCCAAACATTTATCTCTGATAAAGGGGGCTGCCAGCATTTCCTTCCACCCACAAATGTCTTCAAAGCCCCTCCAAACTCCCGTTAGGATTCCATCTGAAACTGAGGGACCCTAAGGGGGGGGAGGATCCTGGCGGGTGTGCAGTCATGCGTGTTGGATTATGAACGCATGCAAGCCCGGTCACCGACGCCCCACCCTGCCTCCGACTGCAGCACTGGCCAGCAGCATCCGGCCACCAGCCAGACCAAAACAGATGCCAAGAGCAGCCACAGGACAGGCTTCCACAGGACACAGCGCCACGGCCAGCTGGCGGCTCTCCTCGGGGCCCTGAGCTGCGCCCCCTGAAAGAGCAGCACACGGATCCTTGACCCCCTTCAGGCAGCTCCTCTGAGCCCCTTAAGGGCGAGGCCTGGTCCCCCCCAGACCTGCGGGGTCAGCTGAGGGAGAGCCCCGCCCTCCACATCGGTCTGGTCCTCACGCCCCCCTCTGAGGAGTAAGTCGTGGGCTGCCTCCAGCAAGAACCCTCCTGGGCCAGGTTAGCGAGACCCCCTGCCCTGGATGTCCCCTCTCAGTAATTTCCACCCGCTGACCCCTCCCCTACTGATCCCCAGTGTCTTCGCTGTATTCAGACTTGAACCCACTCTCTCCCCATTGCAATCGTCGTGAATGAAGTCTTCCTCACCACCGTAACCGAGTCAGGATAACTCTCTCCTGTCCCTCCTCTCACTCAAGGAAAGAAGCAAGGCCCCTCGTCCTCCCTCGGAAAAGGAGTCACCCTGAGAGACCCTGAGAGGACCTCAGTGCTGTGCTCCTGGGCCCAAAGAACACAGCCCAGGAGGAAGGGCTGTTTCCCACGTGATTGCTCAGGGCCCTGTAGGCTGGCAGCAGCTCCTTCCTCTTCCCTGAGCTAAAGAAAGGGTGTGGTCAGCTAGGGAAGGGGAGGGGCAGCCCCATGCCCCCTGGTCTCATCCAGAGACCAGGAAGCTAAGTCAAAGCTCTCCGCTCCCCCCACCCTGCTCCCCCCACCCTGCTCCCCCCACCCTGCTCTCCCCACCCCGCTCGGGGAAATGCGCCCCCGCCAGGAGGTTGCCCCACCTGCCTCTAACACAGCAGATGCACGAAGAGCCACAGGCCCCTCCCCTGGTTCCACAGCTTGAGCCATGAGGACCAGGCGGCTGATACAGGCAACGTCCGGCGGTCCTACATCGTTACAGGGAGCACCGCTTGGGAGATAAGCTGGGAAGGTTGGGAAGATGGCCCGTCCGAACTGGGAGGAAAAGTGCTGCCTCTGGGGCCACATGCAGCCGACGCTTAGTGGGGCTTCTTCAAACCCTCTGCCGACGCCGCCAGCATCATCATAACAATGAGGAAACACACGCGTTCTCGCAGTGTGAGAACCTGGGGCCCACAGCTGCTGTAGTTTGCCAGTCTGTTTATTCATTCATTCGACAACCATTTTTCTTTTATATATTACTAGAGGCCCAGTGCATGAAATTCGTTCACTCAGGGGTGGGGGTCCCTCAGCTCGGCCTGTGCCCTCTCACTGTCCAGGACCCCTCAGGGAATGTCCACCTGCCAGCTTAGGCCCGATCCTTCCAGGGATATGGCCTAAGCTGACAGTCAGACATCCCTCTCGAAGTCCGGGACTCTAGCAATCTGGGACCCCTCCCTCCTTACCACCCACCTGCAGCAGAGGCAGGAGAGGCTCCCGCCACCGCCGCTGTGCTCACCAGCCATGAGCCTGGCTTCTGGCTGAGCAGTGCTCCCCCTGTGGAGAGCACTGACCTCCAGGGGGCAGCTCCTGCATTGAGCATCTGCCCCCTGGTGATTAGTGTGGGTCACAGCGATCGGTCGTTCTGCTGTTTGGTCGATTTGCATATTAGGCTTTTATTACATAGGATATATACTTTATATCAGAGAGGAAGGAAGAGGGAGAGATAGAAACATCAATGATGAGAGAGAATCATTGATCAGCTGCCTCCTGCTCACCCACACTGGGGGCCGAGCCCACAGCCAGGGCATGTGCCCTGACCGGGAATCGAACCCTGACCTCCTGGTTTGTAGGTCAATGCTCAACCACTGAGCCACATCTGCTGAGCAGCAACCATTTCTGAATGCGTCCCACATGCCAGGCACTGTACTCTCACTAGGAAAACGCCGAGACCTCGACCGCCAAGAGGGCACGGCTGCTGTGTAAGTGGAGGCCGGACGTGTGTACGTGTGTAGGGCACACACAGAGGGTTCTCCGGGGTGACATGAGCACTCGGGGGGGGGGGGGGGGGGACTGAGTGGGAAGAGTGGGAAGAAATGGGAAAAACTTCCCCGAAATGTCTTGAAAGTGGCCTGTGACGTCGCCAGGCAGGTTCTGGAAAGTGGAGAAGTGCAGAGAGGCGTGTCAGAAGCATAAACCCGGGAAGAATGCGGCTCTGGTGAAGGGTGAGTGTTTCAGCAGCCAGGGCGGTCCCGTGGGGGGCGCTAAAAGGTCAGCTCAGGAATGCTGGCCTCCTCCAGGCTCCAGGCCAGCCCTCAGGGCCACGGGAGGGGCAGCCACTCTGCACCCAGTTACCAGGGCAGCGGCGGAGACCACAAATCGGGCCCTGAAAACCTGGGAAGACTGCAGAGCTACCAGCACAGAAAGGTGCAAGACTCCAGGTCAGGAGCAGCTGAGGCGGAAAGGAACAGGCAGACAGGGTCAGGTCGGACAGACAGGGTCAGGGCCGGACAGACAGGGTCAGATCGGACAGATGGGGTCAGGTCGGACAGACGGGGTCAGGTCGGACAGACGGGGTCAAAGCCAGACAGACGGGGTCAAAGCCGGACAGACGGGGTCAGGTCGGACAGACGGGGTCAGATAGGACAGACGGGGTCAGATCGGACAGACGGGGTCAGGTCGGACAGACGGGGTCAGGGCCAGACAGACGGGGTCAGGGCCGGACAGACGGGGTCAGGTCGGACAGTTGGGGTCAGGGCCGACAGTCGGGGTCAGGGCCGGACAGATGGGGGCAGGGCGGACAGTCGGGGTCAGGGCTGGACAGACGGGGTCAGGGCTGGACAGAGGGGGTCAGGGCAGGACAGACGGGGTCAAGGACAGACAGACGGGGTCAGGTCGGACAGACGGGGTCAGGTCGGACAGATGGGATCAGACCTGGACAGACAGGGTCAGGTCGGACAGAAGGGGTCAGGGCTGGACAGACGGGGTCAGGGCCGGCAGAAGGAAGCAGGAGGCCAGCTCCTTGTTGGCAGGGGAACGGGTGGGCGGCTGCTTTCCTTTCCCCACAGCAGGCCTGTGAGTGGAAATTGGAGCCGGGAGGAGGCGGTCACCAAGGGCAGACACCGGAGATTGGGGTCGGAAACCAGAGCCAGAGGGCAGGGAGGTCACCTGCCCTTGGACGGCCGCCAGCACCTGCACCGGCTCACCAGGGCCCTGGCTCGGAGGCCGGAGGGAAACGTGTTCCGGAGGGAAGGAGGCAGGGGGAGTCCAAAACCAGGGGAAGGAAAGGAGGGGGGCTGGGGGAACAGGGCCCTGGGTTTGGAGGCTGGGTCCTGGCGGCGGAACAATGGGACTGGAGACACTGAGCAGTGAAGGGGGGGGACATCTCTGGGAACCCCCACCTTACAAACGGCGGTTTATTAAAGCTTCTAAGAACAGACCCGGGCCCTGGCCGGGTAGCTCAGCTGGCTGGAGCATCGTCCTAAGAAGTCGAGGTGGCAGGTTAGATGCCCTGTCAGGGCACATTCAAGAAGCAACCAATGAATGCATCAGTAAGTGGAACAGATCAATTCTCTCTCTCTCTCTCTCTCTCTCTCTCTCTCTCTCTCTCTCTCTCTCTCTCCTCCCTCCCTCTCATCAACAAGTAAGTAAAACATTAAAACACACTTAAAAAACACTTCTAGCCGTTTTGCAGGCTAGGGAGGAGCTGCCAACAGACGGAAAAGCAGGGGTGAGGTGAACAGCAGAGGAGACACAGAGATTTGCCTTAAAGAGAAGAGAACTGTGCCCCTGAGATGAAGGAAACCGGGCGAAAGCTGGAGAGCAGCGTCCTCAGAACCGCAGCCACCGCCTCTGAAGAGGGAATAAGTGCTGGCTGGAGAGCTTTCTAGAAATTGGAAAGTACTTGCTACATTCCATACGGCCAGAGTCACCGTCCCCGCTAGCAAAGCCCCGCGGGGACCAGACGTGAGTCACAGGCGTGAGTCAGAGGCCACAGCCCTCGTGTGGACATCCTGCCCACACCCGCCCGCCCACACGGAGGGGGCCGCGCTGGGCAGGGTGACTTCCCGTGATTCAGACAGGGCTTCCCTCGTCCTGTGCTCCCGCCCGCCCGGCCACGCATGGCGCCCCCTTCCCCCCCCCCCCCCCCCAGGGAGAATTCCACTGCACCAGGTGCTGTCACCCTCAGTCACCCTCGTCCCCTGCCACAATGCCTTCACAGGGAATTACACCTATTCTCAGGCAACACCTGGCCAAACATATAATCCACTCTAAACGCTCACCTTCAAAATTACCCACTCCTCCAGCTCTATCATTTTGTTGGCTTTTTTGGTTTGTTTGGACTAACTGAAGAAGTTCTTTACCTTCGAAGACCAGGCATGCCAATAAAATGGGTAAAATTAACCCAAAGAGCAAGAGAAGTGTTGCTCTTCTCTACACAGAATTTAAAGACACAGAAAGGCTGGGTCCGAAAACCACATAAAGCAAAGAAAGGTCTCAGGAATCCTCATTTATATTTTTAAATCAACGGCTGTGTTTGTAAAGTTTTAGAAAAGTATTCAGGCCATCCTATATAATAAAACCCAAATATGCACACTGACCGGTGGAACGACCGGTCGCTATGACGCACACTGACCACCAGGGGTCAGCTCCTGAATTGAGCGTCTGCCCCCTGGTGGTCAGTGTGCACCCAAAGCGGGAGTGCTGCTTAGCCAGAAGCCAGGCTCACAGCTGGTGAACGCAGCAGAGATGGTGGGAGCCTTTCCGGCCTTCAAAGCAGCGCTAAGGACCCCTTGGGGGTCCCAGACTGCGAGAGAGCATAGGCCGGGCTGAGGGACCCACCCCCACCCCCAGTGCATCAATGTCGTGCACCGGGCCTCTAGTAGGAATAGAATTTACTGCAGGAATGGATCTATGATGTAAAAATGCTGTGACATTTCTACCACATTAAACTTCTAAGTCGCTAAGAGAAGACACGGCCAACTGCCACCTCTAACTCGCCCGCCACGGGGCAGGTCTCCCAGGGCAGGAGCTGCCAGGAGGGAAGGGCAGACTGCCAGTGGACTCAGGGGCTTGCAACGCAGCCAAGCCCTTTTGGATCCAGTTCTTCCACAGGATCCAAAACAAAGACAAGAGTCAAAGGAACCGGGCCCTGAGTGAGGCTAGCCGGAAGCAGCACAGGCCAGGGGTATCGGGTAACCCTGACCTGAGACCCGAGGGGAAATCCCTCGCCACTGAGAGATCCGACCTCGGGTGCAGGGCCTGGACAGTGTACCAGATGGGGCACCGCCTCTGGACTGAGCCTGGTCGCAGCTTCACCGCTCACACTGACGCTGCCCCTGCCCCTGCCCCTGCCCCTGCGCCTGTGCCAGACCTTCGTAAATTACCCCGTAAATTACAGCTCAGGGACTGCAAACCAACCCCAGATTTCCTAATCCAACCTTCAGGTCAGGAGGTAACTCCTCCGATGTGCATGAAGTTTCTGGTGAAAAATTGTGGAGCCTGATTTTGCCTCGATGACATTCCTGCTGCCCCGAATGTGTTCACTCTTTATAAACAACCTTATAAATGAAACTAAGCTCAGGCGGCCCCAGGATGATATTTTCAGCTCCATCACCTTAAAGAAAATCCTATATAATAAAAGGCTAATATGCACATTGTCCCCTCGACCAGGAGTTCGACCAGGGGGCGAAGCCGGCCCGCCAACCTCCCTCGGCCCCTCCCCAGCCGGCCCAATCGGCCCTGATAGAGGCGGGCTGGCCACACCCCACCCATGCACAAATTCGTGCACCAGGCCTCTAGTTAAAGGTAAAAGCCTTACATTGAATGAAAATGTGTTAAATAGATCATTCATCTATGAAATACAGCCAAATCTTGATTTTTTTCCCCCCAAACCAAGAGTGCGGAATGTATTTAAAGTAACTTAGACTATCTGTGGAAAAAGTTGGCTCTAGCTAACGAGTGAGATGGAAAACCCATGGGAGCAAGTCGGGAGGTTCCCACGTTAAGTAGAAAGAGAAGACACTGGTACGGAAGACAGTTCATAAACATGAAAAATTGCCGCTGTGAGTGCCGGAATGCTTGAGCGTCAACCTACGGACCAGGAAGTCATGGTTCAATTCCAGGTCAGGGCACACGGCCTGGTTTCGGGCTCAATCCCTAGTGTGGGGTGTGCAGGAGGCAGCCGATTGATGGATGATTCTTTCTCACCGTTGATGTTTCTCTCTCTCTCTCTCTCCCTCTCCCTTCCTCTCTGAATGAATGTTTTAAAAAACTGCCACTGTGGAAGGCTACATATTAATTTTTCAATAGGAGGCACGGATTTTTAATAATACATTTTAAATTGCTAAATGTGCACTTGGAAGAGACTCAGGAATCTGATCGCGTGAGTCTACAGGTGGCCACAGAGTGAGGTCTCTGGTCCCCACACCCACAGGTCAACAGGAGGATCCGCCCTGGAATCCATCTGAACCTGACACGGACGCCCCTCCAGGTGCCCGGGGGGCCAGAGGACATGCAGACAGGAAGGTCAGTTCCATAACAGAAGTACAGACAAAGTCCATCGCAATATTAGATATTTCACCAAAATGTTTTGCTGGAATGGCTTCCAAGGATAACTAATGACAAAGCCAGTGCAAATTCAACATCGAATCTTTAACAGCTGTAACTTTCATGAAAACTAAAAACTGGCTTTGATTGGAAACAGGCCTGGTGTTATGGTGGCATAGAAATCACATACATAATCTTATAATACAAACCAGCATTCTCCCTTGTTCTGTACAGATAAGGGCCCTGACACTAGTTCCCTTCTTTGAAGGTATTAATGTCCGCACCGGAAAAAATTCCCTCACTGATGCTCTCTTGGGTCAAGTGTCTACATGATTAAAAGGCATTGATTGAAAAACTTCAGGCATCGCTGGGAAAACACACGGGAGAGATTCAAGAAACAGCCAAATGAGCCAGGATAAAGAAAATGATTCTTTGAAACTTGCTCACTCATCATTTACATCACCACACCAGCATATCAAGATAGGACACATTATTCTCAGGAAAGTTAATTCCACATAAAAGTATCCCTTCCAGGGGGAAGAACCTAAACCAAAGTTTCCACTGGAAGTAACATAAGAATCGGTTCATTGTAAGATTTCTCAAGAGCAAAAGAGGAAGTAAGAATGGAGCGCTGTCTGAATTTAATAGTTACCAACCCATCTTAATCCCCCACTTTCTCTTGGAAAGGACTGGGAAACCTTACTCAATTTTGATAAGTTAATCTGATAAAAAAGAACTCTCGGTGAGAAAGGGCATTGTTTGAGTAGTGAAAACCCTTGTTTAAAAAAATGACCTGGACCCTGACAAGCCATTTAGAAGGATAAGGTCTGTAAAATTAGTTCTGGGTGGAGCTGCCAGGCAGCGATGTTTAATTCACAAAGGACTGGATGTTTTATTCACAAAAGACTGCGCAACATGGTCCATGTTTACAGACTGCTCTGTAAATCACACCATTTTCTTTCCTGCATTTTTGATTAATGCTAAGGAGACAGCGAAAGCCAGTATTAGGCCATCCGGTTCTGAAACAGACCCAAGCGAAATTCAACTCAGAACTCGTTCCGCCACTTCATTGCTTAAGCGGCTTTTCTGTTTCATGTTTTGCATGAAAAGAAAAAAAGAAAAAAATCAGTGCCTAGGACGAACCATTCCTTTGAGTAAAACTGGGTTGAGCAACTGGGGAAAGCCGCGCGAGTTGCTCAGCGGAGAAAGCCGCCGCCCATCCACGGCATTAAAATGCAGGAAACCAGGCGGAAAAAAACGAAGGAAGCCAGAAAAAAGAAAAAAGTGCGTTCCCCTCACATGACCGCGCCGGGCTGTTCCTGCTCTGGTTCTAATTTTAGCGGCTCTTCGGATTTGGGGGAGGCCCCTTCTCCACGTTCACTCGCGACCAGGCAGAGCGCAAAGCCCGGCCACGTCACCTGGGCCGCGCCCGCAGGGCCGGGCAGGGCCGGGACACGCGCGAGGGGGCCCCGAGGGACCGGCGGGGGGCCGGGGACCGGCACATTCCCCGGGGCAGAGCCTCTTTGCTCCGAAACTTTCCCGGCTCAGACACGTCCTAGAGCCGCCCGGGCGCCGCTGACCGAGGCGCTGAACGGGGCGCACGGCCTTACCTGCGCCATGGCGACTGCTCAGGTCCGGAGAAGAGACCGAGGGGCGGGGGCCTGCAAGACAGGGGCCAGCGCTGGTTCCCGGAGGCAGACCCGCCCTCCCCGCGCCCGGGATCGCCCTCCTCCCCGGTCTGTGCCCCCCTCGCCCCCTCGGAGGGCCCCTCCCGGGCCAGGCGCGCACTCACCGAAGAGAGGGACTAGGAGCCGGAGCCTCCGGGAGAGCGGCGGGTGCGGGCGCGCAGCGAGGCGACAGGGATGCCAGCAGGGCGCTCGGACCGCTGCTCCAGCTCCAGGCAACGGAAACACCCGTCCGGCCCGCCCCCCCACCCCCCTGCCCCGCCCCGGCCCGCCCCGCCCCCGGCCTCCGTGCGCCTGCGTGGGGCGCGGCCAGGCAGCGGGTGGGGCCGGGGTTGCGGCTGCGGCTGCGGTGGCACCCAGGTGGGGCGCCACTCCCGAGGCGGGACGGGCGTGGGGAGCCGACCGGGACTCCCTGGCCTCCGCGGCCGCGGAACCGGGGGCCCCAGCCGGCTGCTCGGGCGCCGCCGCGCGTGGGTGTCTCTGCAGGGACAGCCGGTCACTGCGCCAGGGACACTTTGACCTTGGAATAGACAAAGTGTGAGGCTTGGAGGGCCGCTTCCCAACTTGTTTTTAAGTTATGAGTCTTTTCTTTTTCTTTTTCTAAGTGCCACTAGCCCGCTCTTAAATGTAGCGCCTTCGGTGGCTTAGGAGGGAAATTTCAAAACCTCTGCGCGGTCCGTTTCCTTTCCAGAACCAGCCGACGACTGTAATATCATTTAAACTTGATGGCTGTCCCCCATGAAGTCAACATGCCATGTGAGCACAGATGAGACAGACGAGGGGATGCCGTGGGAGGCGAGGCTGGCGTAGAAGGCAGAGCTGGGGAGGCAGCGCCAACTCAGACTCCGGTGCGGGGGAGGCACAGGGTGTGGCCACGCGCCGGGGACAGAAGCCTGCAAGGCCGCTAGGGGAGACGAGACGGATGCCCTGTGATCAGGAAACGCTGCGCGTCAGAGACAAGACTCTGCCTGGGGGGATACGGAAGGGGTTTGCCATCTTGAATGGAGAACTGGTGTGGTCCTTCGCCTGCAAGTTCTCCTTTGCTTGCGCGTGTGAGCACAGGCTCCAGGAGGCCGCGTGAGGGCCTGCGGCTCGCACCCCGCCCAGGTCGCCTCTCCAGTTCCCACCCGACCTCTTCTCACCAGCCCTGCCTCTGCCTCCTGCTGCGTGTCCTTTAAGTCCCGGGAGGTAGCGGCGTCCTACCTGCTCTTTAGATTTAAGTGGCTATAGAGCCCTTGGGGGAAATGGGTCCAGATTTCGTTCAGAACCTCCTCCTGCGCCAACAGTGCTGAACTACAGGGAGGCAACCTCCCCTTCCCGGGACCTCTGTGCCCACCAGAAATTACCTAAAAGCAGGCTCCTCGGGCTTTAGCTTTAGATGTCCTTCCCCTGTTTCTATTCGAAACAATATTTGCATTTATCCAGCGAAACATGAGCCATCCTCCCTAGCAGGTGGCGGACTGTGGGTCTTGGGTAAATAATCAGGAAGAAAGATTCTCCCAGGGCTCTTCAGGGCGGAATGTTCTGAGCCTGATGAAGATTCTGGGGCTGTGAGTGGAAGGAGCCACGGAAGTCCTCAGCCCTCGCACAGGCCGCGTGGGTCTGGCCTGTTGCTGCCTCCCCTGCCCGCCCCTGCCCGCCTGGTGCGGAGGCCAAGTCGCTGCCCCCTGAGTGTTTTAAATGGAAGAGCGAGGGGCGAACGCATCCACTGGGGTTGGTGCGCGGTTTTCATTTCGAACAGTGGCTGCTGTTAACTGCAAACCCCTGATCCTCAGAGCTGAGGAAGATACGCCAGCGGGTCCAAGGAAGCCCTGTGGGGAGCATGGCACCGGGGGGACAGACGCGCGTGCGCAGACAGGGCCTCGTGCTGGAGAGGACTCGTTCTGGGGGAGTAAAGTTTGCTTTATGGTCTGGCCAGCCTGCGGCCTGGACAGTGATCTGCTTTTTCCTGCTCCGGGTGGCGGTGGGGACTGCATGAGCTCACTTGTTTAAGGCCTAGAAATAACAGGAATGCTGGTCTCAATTGCTCATCCCGATAATTTCTCCGTCCAAACACTCTCACCACCAAACCCCACCCTCGATTCCATGCTGAGGATTCAGCCCCACCCACCCACTCAAACACCAGAAAGCAGGTCTGTGACCCCAGGGGCCATGCCACAGGCCTGCTTCCCAGCCCTGCCTCCCAGCCCTCACCCCCCCACCCCCCCCACCCCCCGCCCCGGGCCAGGCATGGTTCTCTGAGCACTGCTTCTTGACCTGGCACTTCTGCAGTCACTCAACAGCTTTATTGTGTCAGACCTGTGACCGCCACTGAGGACACAAAATAAAAAAGGTGCACATACTCTGCCCAGGAGGGCACCCAGCCTGCAGACTCAGTGGGTGTCAGCAGAGTCCTGGGAATTTATGTAAGGACTAGAGGCCTGGTGCACGAAATTCGTGCACTCAGGGGGGGGTCCCTCAGCCCAGCCTGCACCCTCTCACAGTCCAGGAGCCAGCAGTCACACATCCTTAGCGCTGCCACAGAGGTGGGAGAGGCTTCCGCCACCACCACTGTGCTCACCAAACATCAGCCTGGCTTCTGGCTGAGCAGCACGCCCCCTGTGGGAGCGCGCTGACCACCAGGGGGCAGCTCCTGCGTTGAGCGTCTGCTCCATGGTGTCAGTGCACCTCATAGCGAGTGGTTGAGCGGCCTTAGCATATCATTAGCATATTACGCTTCGATTGGTTGAATGGACGACCGGACGACCAGACACTTAGCATATTAGGCTTTTATTATATAGGATTCCTCATGGAGCCACAGCTCCAGCTCCGGTGTCACAGGGTCACCCAGCCTGCAGCAGGCCTGGCCATCGCAAAGGACAGCCCACTTCCCCTCCACTCAGACCCAGGCTCACTGCTCCCGCCCCGCTGCTCAGGTCTCAGCCAGGACACCCACAGTCAGCTGCACCCAGGACACCCACAGCCAGCTGCACCCAGGACACCCACAGCCAGCTGCACCCAGCGTGCTGAGCCTGCCCATCGTTTGGGCGCTAAGACCAGCGGCAACCATTGGACGTCCATATGCAAAGGATGAAAGACAACAATTGGACACAGACTCACACATTTCACAAAGTTAACTCACATTGGGGCACAGGAGGTGGAGCGCAACCCCTTATCCCTTGAGTGTGGGGTACAGAGTGACTTTGTCTCCCACATCACCGTCCTGGTTAAGCATCACGGTTAATGTGTGGCTCCTGCAGTCCCTACAGTCCCTGGTTCCCTCGGTTTCCCTCGCAGCCCCGCCCACCACGTGGAAGGGGAAGGTGGCAGATTCTAACAACGGGCTCCTGCCTTGCACTGGCCCCGGCTGGCCCACCTGCCAGGCACAGTCTGCCACCAGCCTCTTCGTTTCTCCTCCCTCTAACTTATCTTCACACCTGATTGTGTTACTCTGTGCTTATAATCAATAGATTTGTATGTTCGGCTCAATCTAAAAAAGACACTTAAAAAAATAGTGCATGCTGCCAAAACCAAGTTAGGTTTCCCGCTTGGAAGGATGGATAACTCCCTTTTAGAAGATGTAACAGGGGATTCAGGACACCAAACTGGAAGAGCTTTCACATCACACAAGCGAAACAGTATTTCCCAATATTTTCCAAGAACTACTTGAGAAAGTGCCCCTCGGCCCCTGAGCCCGATCATTACCCTCTGATTCTTAGCACAAGCAGCGCCCTTTCTCCATCTGGATTTGTGGGGGGAAACCACATTCGACTGTCCCCACACACACACCCACACACACACAGGGAGAGGCCAGGCAGCAGGCGAGGAGTCCAGGGCAGTGGGCAGAGGGCTCCGTGACTCAGGGTCTGGGAATCCCATGGGATGGAGGAGGAGGGGTTAAGAATAGAAAGAAGAGGAAAGGGAAAAACTTGACAAGGCCTCACAGCTGTGAGCCGGGGCCGCTCGGGGACAAGGACCAAGGGGGCAGAGGTTTGGCCCTACAGCAGGTAACCCAGGCACTCCCGCTGCGCAGGGAAGGCAGAAAAGGGAAAGCTGTGGCTCGAGGCCAAGGCATCCTGTGGGGAGAAACCTATACGTACAGAATTCAAGCTGCTACCAGTTAAATACAGACACGGAGGCCCAGACGGGAGGGACACGTGTGTAGGGTTCACTCTCTCCCCAGCTCACATCAGCAGTCCCTCCTCAGGGAATTTTAGCTCCACACCCTGGCCACCCGCAGCCGACCCGGGCCAAGGGTCCCTCGGGGTGTCGCCGGGATGCGATTGCCTTTCCGGGTGCACCGCCCTCTATCAGGGGCTTTCCATGGTCCCCAGGACCACGCGCCTTCCTCTGGGCAAGCCTTCCCTTCGTGTATGCAGCTGCCTGTCGATTTTTTTTTTTTGACTGTGGAACATCTTAAACTAGAGAAAAGTGAAAAAGATACTTTGTTACTAATTAAGTCTTCTTATAATTAATACCTCATTAAACAGATTTTAAAATAAATAGATAAGATGTTTCAGACACAGAATAGTATTATCAGTATTCCTCCTTAATAAGTTATTTATGTATCTAATAAAAAGCAATAGATACAGCATTGCTTGGCATGTTTCAAATTTCATATAATTAGTGAGGTACTATTCAGACTCTTTAGCAATTCTTTCACTCTACATTGTGTTTTGGTGTTATATTAATGAGGATATTAAGATCACTAACACATTTGACTACATTAAAATTAAAAAGTTATGATGATAAAATATTACATAAATGAAGCTAAAATACAATCTGCTGACTGTAGTTTATCTTTTTTTTCATTGATTTTAGAGAGAGAGTAAGGGGGAAAGAGAAACATTGATGTGAGGGAAACATCGATCAGCTGCCTCCTGTACAACCCCCAATCGAGATTGAACCCACAATCTAGGTATGTGCCCTGATGGGGAACTGAACCTGTGACCCTTTGGTAACAGATGACACCCCAACCAACGGAGCCACACTGGCCAGGACTGTAATTACTTCTTTTAAAAATATACTAGAGGCCCAGTGCACGACATTCGTGCACTGGGGAGGGTCCCTCAGCCTGACCCGAGCCCTCTCGCAGTCCAGGACCCCTCAAACGATGTCCGCCTGCCAGCTTAGGCCCACCATTTGGTTGATTTGCATACTAGGGTTTTATTATACAGGACTAGAGGCCCCATGCACGAAATTTGTGCACGGGGGGGGGGGGGGGTGGTTGTCCCTCAGCCCAGCCTGTGCCATCTTGTAATCTGAGACCCCTCAGGGG